TGTGGGGAAGACATAAGCATGAGATTCCAAAGATGTTGGGCATAATGAGGTATTTATGCCATCCCAAACTAAGGAGAACTAAGGGTCTAGGACTTGGAAGGAAACAATGCATAGGAAGACAGAAAAGTAACTGTCTGCCATATAGTAACAAGAGGCACAGAGAAATTCTCACAACAGACTTGTCCAAGTTCCTCCCTGTCTTCCACCTCTGGTTCATATTATACCGTAGTTATCTATGGTGAGCGCTCCCTTCCTGGAGCAGATCCTCTGTCCAAATTCTTTGAGCAGTCATGAGGGAAGATCAAAGTTTCTTTCTGAATCTTTTGGGCCTTGGCTGCTTTGATCTTGAAATAATCTGCATGACAAATTGGTACATCTTGAGGCCACTCATTCTAATCCCCACACTCCTATAAGTGAAATCAGTGGAGTGAGGCAGTATGTCCTCTCCCCTTCCAAATAAGTGTCAGGTGTCCCCTCACCCCACATCTGGCCCCGGTCGATGGGACAAATGGAGGCCATCACACTACACATATAGAGGTTTAAAAGTTAGAGCTCAATCTAGTAAACTAATAACACAGATTTTATCCTGCTGCCTTGACAAATACAGCTCTCTTATGACCTGGGAGTCTAGGTTCAAATGGAAAATTCTTGGATCTTTCGGATTCCCTACAGAAATGGCAGTGCAAGGAAAGCAAGCTTCTGGTGGCTGGTCCCAAGCCTGCAGTGTCCTCCTTCTCCCCCAATGCCCAGCTCCACGGCACAGCAGAATACATGCGGACAAGCCAGCCTGCACACACGAGCTTCTTACACATCCTTCAAATGGTACCATCTGTGTCAATCCCTCAGAAAAAGAAAAGCAATTGTGCCAAAATGTTAACAGCTGATGAATCTAGGTAAAGGACAAGCCAGTGCTCATTGTGTTATTCTTGCCATTTTTCTAAAAGTTTATTTTTTTTTAAATACAGGACAAAATTAGCATTTTGTTTTAAAAAGGTAATAAATCTCCAAGTTGTGAAGTGGACTGACTTTAACCTGTAGAGCTCACAAGGGACAGAACAAACCCACAGGAAGGCCTTAGGCTGCAGACCTACTTGCACAGTCTCCACCACATGCCTGTGAGTCGTGGGCCTGGAATAAAGGGCCCTAAAGAGCTGTGTTTCTGTTCTCAATTGACCCATGCTTTTTTTTTTTAAAGATTTATGTATTTATTTGAGAGACAGAGAGCATGGGGGGCTACAGAGGGACAGGGAGAGAGTCTCAAGCAGGCTCGGAGCTGAGTGGAGAGCCTGACGTGGGGCTTGATCTCACAACACTGAGACCACAGCTGGAGCCAAAACCAACAGATGGGTATTTAACTGACTCCACCCCCCAGGCACCCCTCAGTTGGTCCAGTTTTTGAACAAAAAGATCTAATATATTCATGAACATGGAAGAGTCTAGACTTAGAACAGGTAACCATCTTGGAAAATTTTCTAATACCAGAAGAGTGTCTTTTGCCATTGGAGGTTAGAACTCTCTATGTCTGTATGTAGGAAACGTGAAAGAAGTCTTGCAGATAGCAATGGCCTCCAAAGACGTGTCATGGAGTAGACATGCTGCCTTCTCTCTGAGGGTCAAAGCTGACCGTTCTAAGGATTTACTCCTCCATCACTCATGAGTCAGCCTCAGGACGATGGTCACACAAGCCACAGCAGCTGGTTTGAGAGCAGAGGCTGTTAATACCAAGATTTATAACAAATTTATCTGTTCAGGTTTTTTTTCCACTCATAAAGTCCTCTCCAGATGACAGATTTCCTGTCCCTCACTTAAAAATGCATAACTTTCCCCCAGTAATGAAGAACATACCCAGCACCCAGATCTTAGATTCTAAATGCCATTTTCCACAGAAAAAGACAGGGAGCCTTGGAGGAATGGCTGATTCTAGAGCTGGGGCAGGAAAACACAAGACAAGACCAGAGAACCTTGTGGTGCCAGAAAGTTCTGGAAGTGCTCAGGAAAAAGCAAAAGGATAAGGACATGTCCAAGGGACCTACAAGCTAATCTGAAAGAGCCCCCAGTGGCCTACGCTGGAACATTTGGGCAGTGAAATAAATGAGGTAGCATGGATTGTCACCCAGCGCACAAAATAAATGCACATGAGTTGGAGGAGATAGAAACAAATGATTGAATGAATGAGTGAACACACAGACAAATAAATAAATGAAGGAGAAGAGACAAGTCTTCCTCACAGAGCTGGAACTTAACCCCTTCCTTGTCCCATCCCCTGAGGGACAGGACCCAGGGCTTGTTTCCAAACAGCCGAGTGTGGAAAGGGACAAACAGCATCTTCACACTGAAGAGACCTGGGGAGACCACTGGAACCCCGTGGTCACAATGAGCAGCCCCTGCAAGAAATCATGTCACTACCACAGATTCCCTGGTAGGACGTGACAAGAAGTACCCTCAAGTCCTGTGGCATCCTTTCTGAAAGCCCATATCCCTAGGCTCATGTTTTCATGGGAAAGAGTCAGACAAACCCAGACCAGAGACATTACCAAATATTTGGCCAATGTTCCTCAATACCACCGAGGTCACAAAAAATCCCGGGAAGACTAAGAGACGGTCACAGACCAGGGGAGACTAAGGAGAGGTAAACAAATGAGATGTGGTATTTTGGATGGGATACCAGAAGAGGAAAGGGGTATAATGGAAAACCTGGTGAAATCTGAATAAAGGGTAGAGCTAATCCTAAGGGACCCATCTTGGTTTCTTAGTATTGACAGGTGGACCACAATAGTGTAAGGTGACAACGTTCAGGGAAGCAGGAACAGGGTGAGGGATACAAGGCACTTTCTCTCCTGTTTTTGCAACTTTTTTGTGAGTCTAAATTCACTCCAAAATTTAAGGTTTATTCTTATGAGGTATAGAGTTTTAAATGCTTTTTTTTCTTTGTATATGAAAAAGGTCAGGATTTTCACAGTTTCTTACAGTTACTGACTACAAGTATCACTGTCCTCCCTTCATGTAAAATCTAAATGCTGTTCCTGATTAATCAAGACACAACCTAGTAAATTGTGGTATACGCAACCCATGGCTGATATTTCGAAATGAAACCACAGTTTCGGGGCCAGGAACTGAAGCATCCATTTCAGTGACTCAAACACAAAAATGAAAAATAGTACTTGACTTATTTAAACTATTTACATCTTTGGAAGTTGATTGTAACATGACTTGTGTGTTTGGACATCTTATCTCATGTCAAGAATGCAAAATTTCATTTGATAATTAAAATCCACTCATTCAACAAAACTGATGCCAGAAACAAGGGAACAGGATAGGACTTCAACTTCCCCTCAGGTCTTGGTCAACCAATAATGTTCAAGTTCCCCACGTGTGTAAACCACGCTTGTTGGTTGAAAACTGTATCGGTCCCAGTTCCTGGCCCTAAAAGAGTCATAGTGACACTGTTCACAGCGTGCCGGGTTCTGGGCCACAAGCTCTGCAGCGTCACTGCCCTCGCACATACTTTGGTACCAGCATCCTCCCGAAGCGGTTATCACCTTCACCTCCTTTGTCCCAGTGCTGAGAGTGGGCCCCAAGGATGCTGATTGGCTACTTGACCAAGGTCACATGAACAAATAGGGGCAGGGCCAGAATTTGCATCCAGAAGCATCTCATCTCAGCCTTCCTGAGACAACTGAGGGCCGCTGAGACAGGGCAGAGAGGTCAGAGGGCTAGGTGACGAAGGGCCAGATGCCGCCTTGACACCCTGTATGTCCCCAGAGCGCCTGATGTCTATGGCTGCTGTGGCTCTTACCACATTGTATAAGTCTTGAAAAAAATGTAGTTTATTCATCTTACTATGCTTCTCAGGTCCTGGACATTGCCTGCAACATAATCAATGTTCATATAAGCCCTCGTTAGAGAAAGAAGCTAGGGCAGGTGCGCAGAAGCACGTTGTTCTATTAGAGCAATACCGACCACTCATAACTCATCCTCTGATGTCTTCCACTCACGGAAAGATCAAGGGTCATTTACTCATGGGTGTCTCAAGGGTGAGGATGACGGTGACGGTGACCACTTTCCACCCTTGCCCATGCTCATCACTGTGTCCCAGAATGCTTCCTTCTCAAGTCAGGTGTCACTTCCACTGAAAAAGCTCTCCTGGGTCTCCAGAATTGGGTTAGACTTCCCTCCTATTGAGCTATCAGAGCACTTCCCACTCTGTAGCTAACTCCCTCTTCTGCCTGCCCCACCAGAGTGAAAGTGTACGGAGGCTTACTTACCACTGCACTCCCAGCCCCGGCCCCGTGCATATCATACCGTTCTAGAATCCCTGTGCATGTGTCGAAACGTTCCTGTAACAGATTTTAGATTCTAGAACACTAAGTCAGAAATGTTACAGTCCATTCTCCAGGAAGAGCGAGATGGGGCTATAATTCATGCTGCACTCTACCTTCTAATCAGATCAAAGTCGGTCACTTCCTCCGAGACAAATGAGTCAAGATATTTTCATATACATCAGACAGGTGATGAACTGTCTTGTGGTTCATCGTATATGGATGGTCGGCTGCACGTGGTCCAGCAGAGGCCTGAGTGTTCAGAGGAGAGTCTTTCTGCACGGGAAGAGAACCTCTTGGGGTGCCTTGGTGGCTCAGACTGTTGGGTATCTGCCTTTGACTCAGGTCATGATCCCAAGGGTACTGGGATCGAGCCCCACATTGGGCTCACTGCTTGGCAGAAAGCCTGCTTCACCCTCTCCCATTCCCCCTGCTTGTGTTCCCTCTTTCACTGTCAAATAAATAAATAAAATCTGAAAGAAAGAAGGAAGGAACAAAAGAAAGAAAGAAAGAAAGAAAGAAAGAAAGAAAGAAAGAAAGAAAGAGAGAAAGAAGAAAGAGAAAGAAAGAAGGAAAGGAAAAAAGGAAGAAAGAGAAAGAAAGAAAGAAAGAAAGAGGAGAGGGAGGCAGGAAGGAGAAAGGAAGGAAAGGAAGAAGGAAGGAAAGAAAGAAGGAAACAGAACTCCTCCAGCTCTGGCGTGATTCAGGTTCATCCTTGGATTATGTGAATCTCAGCAGGACTGCAGTTTTGCCTGGTATCTGGAAGCAGAGAGAAGGTGTTGCGTCGTCCTTGGGAGAAAGTGGCTGGAATTTCTGAAAATACGGTAACTAAAGCTTTAGGAAGCTTTTCACACCAAGAAGTCAGAGCAGTATTTCTGTTAAATAGTGACTTTTGTCACCGGGAGTCTCTGACATCGGGGCCCATGATGCCGGTATTTTAAGAAAGATTCTTCTACTTCCCTTTTCACTTCGTGACTGCTGTGAGCTGTTCTCAGAAGCACCTGCTGCGCTGGCTGCGGGCCGAGACGGGCCCCTGTGCGCGCTGCCGCTCCTCGGGATCCCGGGGCACGCTCCCATGCTCCTGTGGGCATCTCTGCTCGTCCTCGGTAAGTGCTGGAGGGGAAGCCTCTGCTCCGGGAGGAGACGGGGCCAATCCATGAGCAAACGCCTCGCCGGCGGGCTGTGGCACAAATGGGTTATGCTCTTATTTCAGAACCACAGGGAATGAGCAAAGGGGAAGATATGGAGGGCCTGGGAGACTTGATTTCCAAAAGCACATCCGTCACTTGTTTCTAATTGCCCACAACAACTTCCTCCTACTCCAGAAGTGGGCTTATTTTTCCATGTAAAAAAAATCTACAGTTAGGGGCCACCTGGCCAGCTCAGTCGGTAGAGCGTTTGACTCTTGATCTCAGGGTTGTGAGTGTGAGCCCCACGTTGGGTGTCGAGATGACTTAAAACAGAATCTTTTAAAAAAAAATCTACAGTTAGGTTTTGTCATTCCCCTAATCACAGATCATGAAGGTTGAAGGATGTGCGGAATCTGTGTGAGTATCCTGATTGTGAGCTGACGTAGGATTGAGCTTCTACTGGGGATGGTCATTCCTTCTCTGTAGCCCACAATCATGTCTGCTCCAATAACTGCAGAAAGCATGAGTGGAGCAGAAATAAGGTGGTTTCCTTTGGATTATTTCCCCCTGCTTCTGTACCAGTTTTCAATCTTTGCCTAAGTGAGGCACAGGTTTCCTAGTAGCTCCAATGAGGGAAGCAAAGACCTGTCAGCCAGTGGTACACTACAGAGTTATGAAGTGTGTCTGTCTTATGCCCAGCGGCACGTCCAGACCCCAACTAAAAGAAGAGTTATTAGTGTGGCTGCCCATCATGGGGACTCGGTGAAAAGTGAATGAAGGGGGATGCCGGGCCCAGTGCAGTGCTGGGCAGTGGGAGGACACAGGGACACAGAGGACAATCTCTGCCCCCAAAAGCTGACCTTCTGGTGAGGAAATCAAAGGACAAATGCAAGAGCATTTGACTTGAAAACCCACGCAAAAATATTACACTGTGGGTCAAGATAATGTGTGATAATTATTCATTCTTGCTGATAGTAATTAATAATTAATTGCTGAGCCCTGGCTTTACCAGACACTCTTCTAAGAGCATCACATGTATTGATCTGCCCAATCATCTAATAATCAAGGAGCTGGAACTGCTATAAATCCCATTTTGCAGGTAAGGGAGCCAAGGCACAGAGATAGTCGTTTGCCTGAAGCTCCGTGCAGTGGCCAGGTCGGGACGCGGACCCACCTGTGACACCAGGACCGCGCTGCTAGCCCCCGTCCCGCGCCGCATGTCTGATTGCCAGTCCCGGAGAGCTGTGATCGCGGTGTTCTTAGCCTAGAGCAGAGTGAGGGCACCGCAGCCCTGAGGCTCCAAGAACACTTCATGGAGGAGGTGGCTTTCCTCGGGGTGTGAGGGCTTGGGTATGACTTGGCTTTCCCTGGTACTGAAGGAGACTGACATTCCAGGCAGGGAGACAGTGAAGCCAAGGGGCGGCGGCAGCCGCAGCATGGTCGGGTCTTGACAGACAGTGATGGTGGCCATCAGCAGAAGACTTACTAACTCAACTCATTGAAATAAGACTACAAGGTCACTTTTATGGTCCCTGTGTGACCGATGAGGAGAGGGAGGCTGGGGAGCCTTCCACAGCCTGCCCAGCACCACGCCACTCAGCCTCAAGCCTCGGTGGCCCTGGCTTCTCCGGGGGTGGAGCTGGGCCCTCCTCTCCCACCCTCGGATGGAGTGGGGCAGGCCGTGGGCTCTCCGGGTGGGAGGGCTCAGCTCCGTTCTTTGCGCTGACCGTGGCCCTCCCCTCTCTTGCAGCGCCGGTCATTGGAGAGCTCGGTAAGTAGGTCCCCTTTTCCTTTCTTCTGTTTCTAGATATTCTAGTGACCATTTCTGGAAGGAATGCTGGTAAGGGGGGCTTGGTCCCCGTGTCCTTGTCCTGAGGACTTCAGGCAGGGCAGTGTCACCCTGTCCTGACACCCGGACCCTAGGAGCTGAGTCACACTCTCGAGCCAAACCCGCCATTGTGTCGGGTGAAACTGGGGGCCTGGGACGCAGGACACAGAGGTCAAGGACGGGTGTGCCCCCACCTGATGTGGGGTGCTGGCCAACCTGACCGAGAACACAGACCCTGGAGGGACACTGGGAATAGGCTGAGACCCCAGTGCGGTCGGAGCTGGGGACCCAGGGCACAAAGAGCTCTGCTCCTCCACCCTCCCTGGCCCAGCCCGGCATGGCCACAACCGCATGCAACCACCCGACACTCCAGCACGCTGTGTAGACATTTTCCTGCGAAGAGCTCAGATCATGATGCCTCTGAGCGCCTGTCCTCCGGTCATCAGGGACCCCAGCCTTCCTGGGCCAGCAGAAGGCTCTCCAGGTGTTGTGGTCTTCCCTGAAAATCCCTTCAAGAGCACCGAGTTCATCCTGGGGGCTGCTTGCTGTCGTGCGGCCCCAACCAGCAGGTGCGCACGCTCTCCCCCGCAGCTCCGGGCTCTGCAGTCCCCTGCTCAGTGCTGTGGACACAGACCTTCCCACACATCGCTGCCCAACTGGGAAGAGACTGTGACTTGACAGGACTTTGCTAAAAGCTCCAGGATGGAGAAACAAAATACAGGAAGTGTCTTAGATCAGCTGCCAGACGTGCTTACGCTAGAGATCACTGACCCCATCCCAGCCTCACTGACGAGGCCCCGACGAGAGGAGCCGTCCGTCCTGCAGCACACAGCAGGGGCAGTGGGGACTGGTGAGGAAGCAGGCGGCTCCCCTCAGCAGAAGTTTCCCTTCTCTCGGGCACGAGATCTGCTGCCCGGTCCCCATGTCGCATCCCGGAGGCTTCCTGAGAACACAGACAGTGGGGATTTCTCTTCTCTCCAGGAGAAACACGACCCCTGCTCACTGGGAACACGGGATAATCTTAAAATCCTCTGAAAAAGAAAAGGCCCGCAGAGACCCAGGAACGTCTGTGTGACCAGACAGAGCCCGAGCTGCTTCATCTAAAACTGGCGCTCGGCTTCCTCTACGGTGTCTGCCTCCTCCACAGGGAGGCACTTCCTTTACATTCGGGTGTGACTGAAAGACCGAGTCGGGCATTCTTTTTTTTTTTTTTATCATTTTTTTTTTTAATTTTCAGCATAACCGTATTCATTGTTTTTGCACCACATCCAGTGCTCCATGCAATCCGTGCCCTCTCCAATACCCACCACCCGGGTCCCCCAACCTCCCACCCCTGCCCCTTCAAAACCCTCAGATTGTTTTTCAGAGTCCACAGTCTCTCATGGTTCACCTCCCCTTCCAATGCCGAGTCGGGCATTCTTGTCGACAAAGGCAAGACAGCTCCAGGTCTCAAGCTTTAAAAACAGCCACCGTCTGTCAGTCCTTACACGCAGGCAGTCCCCCTTATCCGAGCGTCAAGGTACTGAAGACGGAACCCACTTCAGGGGATTCCACTTAAAATTTTATGGTGAATTACATACCCCCATAATTGAGATTTTAGTTTTGAAAAACAAAATAATGCACATGGAAATAATCTGGCTTATTTTCTGCTTCGCAGAATTTGGATTACCACAGGCAATTTGCAGAACAAATTGAATCGAATATTGATTTTTTAAATGTGGGAGCTGCTGCGACTGCAGCCATCCTGACGGCTCGGGGAGCAAAGCTGGGGGGGAGGGAGGCAACTAAAACTGTAAGAGCTCCCCCCCAAACCCTGTCCTGACCTTGACCTTGCTTTGCTCCCTTCCGGCAGGGGTGAAACCTCCCACAGCACCGCACTCCCAGCCCCTCTGGCTCTAGTCCCCCGACATCCCCTTACCCAGAGCTGGATCCCGTGGCCGCTAACTGCTCCCAGCGTCCTGCCTCTCACAGGAGTCCGGGAGGACACGTTCCAGTCCCCTTCCCTCGCACAGCAGCGCCCGCCTGGTCAGCCCAGCAACACGAGGCTCTTGCAGCCGGCGGACGGCCGCAACAGGGGGAAGGGCTGCGAGAGCCTGTTTCCAACAGGGAGTAACATCTCAGGGAAGAGCCACGTCTCTTTCCTCTTAGTTTATCACCGGGGCCGGCCAGTGAAACAGCCAACTGCTGTGCGGACCACGGAGGCCTCCTTCTCAGACTCTGTCTCCTCCTTCCTGCCAGCCGCAGCGAAACCCGTGATTTCCCTCCGTCCCCCATGGACCACCGTCTTCAGAGGAGAGACAGTGACTCTGACTTGCAATGCGTCACGCATCCACGCAGCAGAGGACATGAAATGGTACCGGTGGTTCCTTGGGGCAACGGTGCTACGTGACACCCCAGGAAACACCCTCAAGGCCCGTGTCTCTGGAATGTACAAGTGCCAGGCCCGGGGCTCACTCCAAAGTGACAGTGTCAGCTTGATCTTTTCTTCAGGTGAGCAAGAGGGTGGGTTAGTGCAAACGATAGAAGTGGTTCTGACACCTCCGAGTCCCCTGGAGTTGGCGAGGCCCAAAGTCCTTCCTGCGGCTCTAACCCTTGACCCCTGCCGGCTTCGTGTCCTAGAGTTCCTCGTGTCTACAGGTGTTTTTCGAACTTCTGTTGACGTTAGAGTGTCACCGTCCGATGGCAATCCGCGGACCTCGCTGTGCATTTACACAGCGGAGGAAGGAGTTCATTTTAGGGGATTCAAAACAGAAGCCACCTTAGTGCCGGCCCTCCAGAGATGCACAGCCCCCTGCAGGAGAAACGACATGGACATGAGCTTACTGAGCACCAAGCAGGTGTGAGAAGTGGTGTAGGACAAGAGTTCGGAGGAGGGAGTCTCCACCTCAGGCCTCTGTCCCCACCTGTTCTCGCGCCTGTCCCTTCTCTACTCCCACTTTCCGCCTTAGGGGCTCCACTCTCTTCCTCCGCTCTCACGTCCTGCTTTGCCTACTTCACAGAGAATGGTTGGGACCACTGCACAGCCCTGCTCCGGGGAAGAAGCCGTCCCTCAGTCACCGCAGACAGAGGGGCCAGAACGGGCCTGTCACGCAGAGCTGAAGAGCAGGAGAATGTCCTCACGGGACCCCATTCCCCATCCCTCACCCCTGGGTCTGTGTCTGAGAACGAGCCTGCTGCCTGGCGAGCCCCCGAGTGCGGTGACCCTTCCTAGTCTGTTTCCTCTGCAGTGACTCTCGCTCTGGGACCCTGGGAGCAGGCTGGTGGCAATCCTTAACTGTGTTCAGCTATGTCAGAGTGTCACTCACATCCCACTCAGCTCTCCGTCCCCACGTTAGAATCCTCATACGATGAATCTGCCCTAGAGTAGGAAGCAGGGGTCGAGCTGGAGTGTTTGGGGCTTATTTAAGAAACAGGTCATGAGGATTGGGAAGAAACGAGTGAGCCTGGGCCGGAGCCTAAATCCTGTGGAAGAGAAAAGAGAGCCAGTCGGGCCTCGTGAGCCGAGCTGCACGGAGGAAGGGGGTGTCCCTGAGTGACAGGCGCTGGTCTCTGTGCTTTCCAGAACGGCTCGTCCTTCAGGCTCCGGCCTCCGTGTTTGAAGGTGACACGCTCGTTCTGCGATGCCGAGTGAGGCAGGGAGAGAAACTGGGCACTGTGACGTACAGCTGGAACAGGAAAGTTGTCTCCTCCTCTCCGGAAGCCCGAGACCTTGTGATACCACAAGCAAGTCTGAACAACAGTGGCTTTTATGGATGCTCTGGATTTCTGCAGGGAAATCGTTACCCACACAGGTCAAGTGCCAGATATGTTAACATTCAAGGTACGCCCTTCGTCTCATGTCGGGGCGGGGAGGGCCTGATGGGGGATCCGTACGTTAGCGCCCCAACTCCGGATAAGGACAGCCGTAGGTCCTCCAGCAGACACAGCGGGGTCACTGCACTGGGAGCTGCCGAAGGACAACGGGATAGCGGGGTCAACGAGTCTCTGTCTTGCCGTGTGCCTGTCTGAAGTTTCCTAGAACCAAGCAGCCAAGCCTGCCCATCTTGGGGCTCTAAGTGCCGCATCCTGAGAACTTGGTTTCCCTCTTCTCTCCAGAACTATTTCCACAACCAAAGCTGGAAGTCATACCCCCCCAGCCCATGGAGGGTGGCTCTGTAAACCTGAGCTGTCGGACGCAGCTGCCCCTCGAGCGGTCGGACGCTCTGCTGTCCTTCATCTTCTTCAGGGACCATGGGGTCATGTTATCGAACTGGAGCAGGTCTCCGGAACTCCAGATCACAGTCATCTGGAGGGAGGACTCGGGGTCATACTGGTGTGAGGCCTCGGAAGCCGTCTCCAGCATCCGCAAACGCAGCCACCCCCTGCAGGTCCGTGTGCACGGTGAGTGTCCAAGTGGCAGAGAGCCAGGGCTGTGGCACCCTCCCCTGCGGCTCCCCATGGCCCTGGGCAGGGAGGGACCACCCAGCACAGATGGATTTGGTCATTCTGATGGACGCAGGCTGGCCCTGGTGTCAGGTACAATAATAGAATTACAGGGCTCGTTTCCACCACTATCTGCCTAAAAACTCAGACTTCCTTTGGAACTCCAGCACCTCGAAATCATAGAGGTGGTTCGTGAAGTTAGATTCGAGAGTTAGGGAAAACAAACAAAACCAAGAAATAAGGTGCCCTGAGCTGACACATTCTAGAAGGCCAGATCTTGGGACAAACCACTGAGGAGATAAGCCTCAGCCTCTTCCTCATCAACAGCAGCAAATGATGGGCGTGCCAGCCAAGTGCGACGCACAAGAGAAGGATGCACAGGTAAACGTAAATATGGTAAGTATCGTCTTGTCTCAGGGACCAAGCACGACTCCTGGAAATGGGTGTGATCCAGCCCGGCTCCAGGGGGACCACTCTCTCGGCTACCTGTCCCTGCAGACAATCCAGACTGCCAGGCAGGACCTCAGACAAAACTCAAAGGTTTCTCCAGGGGTAGCCAGGTTTTCTCTCCAGTGGCCTCGTGTGTCAGGAACTACTAAATCTGGTGATGTTCTAGCTCGGAACTCCACAGTCTATGGGCTACAGAGCCCCATCCAACATGCCAGCCCTGCCTTCCCCCCACAGACCCTCCCTGGCCCTCTCATGTTCACACGGGTGTCCCGGCGGCCCTTACCTGCCTTCAGCCGCCCTCTTGTGCTCACACAGATGTCCCGGTGGCCCTCACCTGCCCTCACCTGTCCTCTCGTGTTCACGCAGGTGTCCCAGTGTCTGCTGTGCTCCTGGAGACCAAGCCCCAGGGGGGCCACGTGCTTGCAGGGGAGCGTCTGGTCCTCGTCTGCTCTGTGGCTGAAGGCACAGGGGACACCACGTTCTCCTGGCACAGAGAGGACACGGGGGAGCGTCTGGGGAGCACGCGTCAGCGTTCCCAGAGAGCAGAGCTGGAGATCCCTGCTGTCGTGGGGAGTCACACGGGGTGGTACTACTGCACAGCAGACAACGGCCACGGCCTCGCCTGCAGCGGGGCCCTGAACGTCACCGTCACAGGTAAGGCTGAGTCTCCATGGGCTTCATTCAGAACGGTCAGCGCTCTCAGGTTAGGGGTGGGCACGGCCAGCCCTCCTGGTGGTTCTCCTCTTTCTGGCTCCATTTTGCCAATTTCCGTGGTGACAGGCAGTTTCTTTCTTTCTTTCTTCTTCTTTTTTTTTTTTTTTTTGTTAAGTATTTCCTGTTTATTTGCTGGAGGCTTTACATATATCATCTCAGCCAAACTTAGAACCTAACAGAACACATGTGACCCGCATTTTGTTATTGAGACAGTGCGACAGGCAGTTTCTAAACACAAATACTAACACTCGGGTCGTGGTGAGGTTCTCCAGGGATGGAGTGCTGGCCAGGAGCCTTTTCGCGGGCTGGAGACGATGGTACGTGTGTGCACTCTGCTGCATCACGGGTTGGTGTCCAAGAGCAGCATTAGCTGGTTAACGGGCCCTCAGGGTCCTCGCCTCTCCGTGACTCATCACAGCACGTCCACCGTCCCCGCAAACCAACACAGCCGGCCACAGGCCCTGCTTCATCCGTTCTACAGGCCTGACAGCCTCAGGGCCCGACCCCTCACAGGCCGAGAAGCCAACGGGCAGAGCCCAGTCACCTGCGCTAAGGGGACAAGCCTTCCGCTGCGTCCCACAGTTCTGGCCTCTGCTTTCCCCTACTCTGTCCCCAGGAAGCCACACAAGCCAGGCTCCCATGCAGCCCTCGTGGCCCTGTCGACCTTCAGTCCCCTCTCCGTCAGGCTCGGTCACACCCCTGCCCTCCAATAGCACTTTCACGGAGGGGCTCCTGGAAAGTGAACTCCTCCAGAGAGTCACCCCACTCACTCCCTCCACTTCTACCCCCTCTCGCCCTGTCAGCACCGGCCTTGCCTCCTGCCACCAAAGTCGCTCAGGTGAAGGTCTACTGTCCTCCACGTTGCTGAAGTCAGTGGTAACTCGGTTTCCCTGTCTCCAGTTTGGACGCAGCTGGCCCTCCCTTCCTTCTTGGACCACGTTCCTCCCTGACTTCTCAGACGTGGCTTGCTCTTGGTCCTTTGCCCATCTGTCAGACTCTCCTGCCAGGCTCCCTCATGAGGTCCTCCCTGGATCTCCAGCTCTGGACCAGGGGCACGCGGGTCTCTGTCCTCAGACCTCCCCGTCTGTGCCCACTGTCTGCATCGTGCCATCCTGTCTACTGACCTCAAATGCACGTTTGACTTCTGTATACTTACGATTCCCGACTCCACCTACAGCCCAGACCTCTAGCCTGAGCTCAAAACCCGCCCAACCAAGCGCTTAAATCAAGTGCCCCCCGGGAGCGGCTAAGCGCCATCGCAAACGCGACTCATCCAGAAACACAGTCTTGGTGTTCGCGGCAATCCGATCCCGTGCGACGCAGCCCCTGGGTAAACGAACCCCGCCCCCCTTGCTTAGGCCAAAGCTCTGGGCTTCGTTCTTGACTTTCCTTCTTACTTTGTCTTCCACGTCAAAGCCGCTGCCAATCCTGCTGGCTCTACCTTTAGGACACAGCACGGAGGTGACTGATTCCTCCCACTTCCTCGGCCACCTCCTGACCCAAGCCCCTGGGCTCCTTTCTGGGTTACTGAGTCACCACAGCTGTCCACAGTCTACTCCCAGTGCAGCATCAGAAGGAACCTCTAAGTCACGTTGCTTTTCTGCACGAAATCCTCTCTTGGCTTCCTGCCGGCTCCAGAGGGACAGCCATCATCCTCAGTGGCCCCCGAGGTCCTGCTCTCCATCCACCCTCCCCTTCCCTCCTCCGCTCTGGTCACCATGACCTCCTGTCTCCTCCTCAAGCCTTCCAGTCATGGTCCCACCTCAGGGACTTTGCACTTCTCTTCCATAATATTCTCGTGCTCACCACTCATCTCCCCCAAGGTTCTACTCCCCTTTTTAGGGAGACCTTTCCAAACCACCTGTGTAATACAGGAGCCCTTCACCTTGACACCCCTTCCCCAGAACCCCCTGGATTCTTCCTCGAAGCACTTATCCCTGGCCTCCATGCCATGTCTCTGTCCCTCCCACTCCCCCCATACTCGCCTCACGAAGGCAAGTCTTTATTTTGACCACTGTTGTATCGCCGGTGGCTGGACTAGGGCTTAGCCCATATGTGGCATTCAGTAAATATGTACAGAGTAAGCGAATTTTACACACATCATTTTAGAAACCAGAGTATCAATCCCAGAAGACCAGGATATCAGTATCTCCATTCTAAGAAAAGGAGCACAAAGCCCAGAAAGATTTGGTATCGTTCACAAGGTCACAAAGAACACACCTCCAGACAATCATTTAGCTCGGAGAGACAGAGGGCATCGTCAGTCCTCCAAAGAAGTGGTGCACAGGCAAGTCCCGTGGTCCATCCACCACACTGAACAGGCAGAGGACGGTGCTGTGTCTGTGAGCGCTGAGCCCTGACGGAACTGTGACCCTGAACTGTCGGGACAGCAGCTGTGGGAAGGGGTGCTACACGGGCAGCCCAGCTGCTCTGCCCTTTTCCCCTCAGCTCCCTCGAGGCAAGTCCTGTGACCAAGGGGGACCTCCCCAGGTAGGTCTTCCCACCAGCGGATACCATGGGACTGTCTGCCTCTCGATCTGGAAATTTCTCAGTGAACAGTGAGAGTGGCTGAGATTCCCAGCACAGACGGGCAGAGATGGGGCCTCGTGTCATACGGATGGCCTTTCAGGAGGGAGAAGAGCCACAGAGAGACCAGCTGCTGAGGGCCACCACCACCACCACCAAGACGTGCTGGCCTGGAAACCCAGAGGGGCTCTGACGAGGGGAGACCTGTTTCTCCAGGAAGCCTCTTGTACTGAAAGATGTCCTCGGGGACCCCAAGGCTGCACTCCCTGAAGAGGGCAGTGAGGAACCTGTTGGAAATGCACACGTGTGTGAAGGCGTTCACCTTCCCTTTGGATGTAAGGTCAGTAGAACGCATCGACCCCCTGTGCTCTGGGCGGCCAGCCGGCGGCTCACACATGTCACTGGCCCGGCTTGCATGACCCTGCAAGGCAGACGTCGTCCTCTGTTAAGGAAGCAGATGATCTCAGAGATGAAGCAGATGCCAAGGATTCGGGGGACATATGGCAGAGCGGGAATTTCTCACCAGATCTTTTTTATTCGTGGACCTTATGCAAAATCTCTGTGCTCAGAAACGGGAGAATTTCTAGCAGCAGAGAAAGTCTGCAGTTGCTGGGAGCACCCGGCTAAGGGGGGCTGTCTTGGCTCATGCGGTTTTAACAACAGAAATTCATTTCTCATAGCCCTGGAGGCCGGAAGTCTGGTCAGGGTGCCAGTGTGGTCAGGTTCTGGGGGGAACCCTCTTCCTTGCAGACAGCTGCCTTCCTGGAGCAGGTGTGAGAGGGGTGAGATAGAGAGAGAGAAAGAGAGAAAGAGAGAGGTGTCTGTGGGGTCCCTTTCTGTAAGGACCCTAATCCCTTCAGTGAATATGGGGGGGCACTCTCTTCCAGATAATGATTTCACTTTCTTCAAATACATCCCCAGAAGAGAGATTGCCGGATCATATTTTTAACTTTGTGGGGAACCTCCATCCTGTTTTCCATAGTGGCTCACCAGCCTACGTTCCCACCAACGGGGCGCGAAGGGCTCCTTTTTCCATGTCCTCACCAACACTTGTTACTTCTTGTCATTCTGATAAGGGTCATTCTCACAGATGTGAGCCGATATCTCACTGTGGCTTAGGCTTGTGTTTCCCTGATGACCGGTGACATCGAGCCCCTGGTCATGTGCCCACTGGCCACTCACACATCTTCTTTGGAAATCTTTGCTTCTGTTTTCATGAGCCATATTGGTCTGTACTTCTCTCGTGGTGTCCTTATCTGACCTTGGTGTCAGGGTGACGCTGGCCTCAAAAAATGAGTTTGGAAGTGTTCACTTCTCTTCAGTTTTGTGGAAGACTCAGTGTTAACTCTTGTTTAAGTGTTTGGAAGAACCCACCAGTGACACCATGTGGCCTGGGCTTTCTTTGGCGGGAGGGTTTCTCATTGAGTCAATCTCCTGCTCATCACTGGTCTGTCTGACCTTGGCTGACTCTGTTTTTTGCACACGTGGTTGCCCCAGCAGGCAACCCAGCAGGGGAAAGTTGCTCTCTAGGACACAGCAGCCCAGCTGCCCTGTCCGCGGATCTCTCCCCTGGTTTGGCTGCCATGGTGGGGAGGCTGGGCTCACGACCCCCATGAGCTACTGCCTGCAGGCGGAACCACTCATAGGTCAGGCTGGGTTTGTTGATTTTGTCAGGAAGGGAAACATGGAGACAGAAATGTCACCGACAGCCAGTGGCCATGTGTACCGAGTGCTTACTTTGTGGCAGGAATCACAGGTGCAGGACACCGTGCCATAAACGGCAAAATCGCCAGTGGTAGCGTCGTTCTGATCCATGGATGCTGTCTGTGTAAGTCTGTGGCGTTGGCATCTGAAGTCTGAATTGGGTTTACCTGGGGACCAAGGATCTGCATGCAAAGCACCTCTACCCCCACTCTCTGACCCTCTATTCGTGTTTGCTTTTCCACAAATGTATTTATGCATTTATTATCTGCCTCCCCTCTGGACTATAAACCCCTGGAGGGCAGGAACCCCACTGTCCTCTTCACTGCTCTGTCCTCAAGGCCTGGCACCTGGCAGGACTCCGTAGATGTCTGCTCAGTGAATGAAGGAATCTGCCAAAAGAAGTCTTTTGAATGAGAAGATAGGAGAACGGACCCAACAGAAAGTCAGAAGCCTCACCAGCATCTCTCATCCCCTCTGGGGCTTCTGTGAGGATGGAGACCATGCTGTTTCCCTGAGGGGTCCCACTGTGGTCTTGTAATGGTGCTGCTGGTTCCCTGAGGGCCCAGTAGGCAGTGCCGGTCCTACGTGAGGGGCTGACACACCAGCATCATATCATATCTTCCCAGGTGGCCTGGGGAAATTCCCAAGAGGCCAGATTACTAGAAGATGGGACATACAGAGAAAGAGAGGAATTTCCCTTAAATGCTAATTCTGAACTGATGTCGGTGGGTCGGTGGAGGGAGCTGGCTACATTCTCCTCCTCTGGCACGGTCCCCCACCCTCAGCCTACACCCCCTACCAGAGCACAGAGTCCTGTCCTGCCGCTCAGGCTCAGGCCAGGCTGCCCAGACCAGAAGGTGGCCTCCTGTGTGCACCAGCCCTGGCTTTTCCTCGTCTGTTAGACTCCTCCCTCCTGGGCTCAGGACCCCAGCTGTGCTGAGGAAAGGTGCCAGGGCATCACGGCCCTTTCCCCTGGGGCTGACACAGGCTCTTGCCCCCAGGGACTCCAGGGAACAGAAGTGGTCTTATTGCTGCGAAAGCCGCTGGGGTTCTGCTCAGCATCCTTCTCCTGGCAGTGGTCCTGTGGATCTACGCCCGGCGCCATCGGAACTCAGGTGTGTGCTCTCCCTTACCCTCTGCTGGAGGCCATGCCCTATCCCCACCAGGCACCTGGGTCCCCAGCACGGCCCCCAGTCTCCCCCTACGCACCCCCAACCCCACAGACCTATGCCCTTCACAGAGCTGTGCGGAGCAGATGCCGTGGTGGAGGGCGGCTTGCACTAGCTGGGTTCGCTAAGGAAGGAAGCACCATTTTTTATGTTAAGTTTCAAAAACCTAATCCAAGCAGTTTCTCTGGGCGGGTTTTTGGCTCCTACAGATGGGTCAACTACAACACTGCCACCCATCCTACATCCTTCACGAATGGGCAGTCAGTATGTCACAGGGCTCTGAGAGTGGGAGCTGGTTACCCCGTAGCCTTCCTCCTCCTTGGAGACTTCCCGGCACCAAAGCCTGAACCCTCCACCCCATGTCCCCAAGGGCCAGCCCGACAGCTCCTCCCCTACCTGGGGGAGAGTCGCACTCCCACAGGCTTCTCGCCTGGGCCGCGCTCAGACTAGTTTCAGGGGCCAGAGACCTCGTGTGGGTGACGCACACAGATGCTGTTCGGGCTCTAGAACAATTGCCCACACCCCCCAACTCTGTTTCTTGGTTTTAATCAATTCGGTTCAACCCATCCTGTGGTTCTCAGCACCGCCCCTGTGCCCGGCGTGGGCTGCTTTGAAGACAAGCCTTCTCCGAGGGCCAGAGTGGGAGCAGGAGCCCGAGCCTGCTCTGGGCGTGACCACCGAGGCTCCCCAAAGTCCTCCGGCAGCCCTCCCGGCTCTGTGTGCCGGACTGTACTTATTCAGGGCTTCTTGGGGTCATCCATCGTCACAGCCTTGAACCTTAATCAAGTCTCCAGCATGTCCCCAGTCAGTTACGCATTTTGTTCCATCCTTTTCCACATCGTTTTCCTAAAAATCCATGACTGGGTGCATGTTTGTTTTATTTTTTTTTTTTTTTTTTTTTTTTTTTCTGTTTTGTTTTTTTTTTTTAAAGATTTTATGTATTTATCTGACAGACAGAGATCACAAGCAGGCAGAGAGGCAGGCAGAGAGAGAGGAGGAAGCAGGCTCCCCGCTGAGATCATGACCTGAGCCGAAGGCAGATGTTTTAACCCACTGAGCCACCCAGGCGCCTTCTTGTTTTTTGGGTTTTTTTTGTTTAATTTAATTTTATTTTTTCAGTGGTCTGAGATTCATTGTTTATGCACCACACCCAGTGCTCCATGCAGTCCACACCCTCCATAATACCCACCACCAGGCCCTCCCAACCCCCACCCCCACCCCTCCAAAACCCTCCCTTTGTCTCTCAGAGGCCCCAGTCTCTCCTGCTTCCTGAATTGACTTTTTCTGCCCCCTTTCTAAGGCCGGTTCCATGCGAACTGCCTGAGAACGAGCTCCCTCTGCTGACACAAACGTGCCTTTGCTTTGTTTTGCAGGACGTGGTTTTCCCGGAAACTCAGCCAGGTGAGGCCTCAGCCTTCCGGGTCTTCCAGGAACAGAATATGCAGAACTGTGGGTTCACACAGTTAGGTCAAGCCGTGTCTCTCTGTCCCTCTGGCTACATGCCCGCATTTTCACATCCCTGGAAATGACCAAAATCACAACTTCTAGAACTTTCTGATGGCTCCTATCATGGTCTGTGAGATGCTTCTCACTAAGCTGTCAGAGAGTGGCCAGCCTTGTTCCCCAGTGGCCGGCCCATACCGTGGTCCTTGGGTCATTCTCAAAAGAACAGTCTGGCCCTATATGGACCTGCTGAAGTTCCAGTTAAAGCATTCCTGCTCCCGGTCCCCTGCCATCGGCTGACCCCTCCCTTCCTGTTCCCCCCGCCCCACTATGCCCCTTCCTCTCTGTGTCCCTGGTCCCCTGCTTTCCGCTGATGTGCTCCCGTGCCCCCTCCTCTCTGGCCATCCCACTGCCGGCCCCATATGCTGTGCCAGGGGTGATCATGCGTCTCCCTGTCTCGCAGGAGCCCTCCCGCCACAGGCCCGGAAAAGGCGCCCCAGGCCGGGTGCCCTGCCCCAGGGGAGCTGCCGTGGTCATATGACAAAGGTGAGGAATCCGGTAGGGAAGCCGTCCTGCTGGAGCCAGGGAGAGGTAAAGACCTGGAGGCCTGGCGGAGGCCGGGTGTCCTATGGTATCCCAAACCCAGACCCGCAGGAAGCCGCCACCTCACTCCGCATCCAAGAAGCTTGGGGAGGAGCGTAGGAGGAGACGGGCAGCGCGTACCTCTGACAGGGGTGGCCTGGAAAGTGCTGTTTGTCCCTTGCAGTGCACGTCGGAGAGGGAGACTTGGTGTACTCCGAGATCCAGTTTATGCAGCTGGGACAGGAAGGGGCCGGTAAGTCCTGGGGAAGATTCTGGCTGCGGACCCTGTTGCTTCATTCAACACATGCTGGGTGCTGAGCACTGCGGAACATACACTGAGTCAATCAACAAACAAGGCAGATAAAACCCCCTACAGTGGTGCTTAGAGTCTACAGAGAGTAAAAAAGACACTAAAAATACAGCACGTGTCTTTGCTGATGATCAGAGCAAAAACTGAACATCTCCCATCATCGTGAAAATGTATGTATGAATTTTTTTCCCCTTTTTAAAGATTTATTTATTTGTTTGAGAGAGAAAGCATGCACAAGCCAGTGAGGGCAGGGGAAGAGGGAGAAGCAGAGTCCCTGTGGAGCAGGGAGCCTGACGCAGGGCTCCATCCCAGGACCCCAGAATCATGACCTGAGCTGAAGGCAGAGGTTAACCGACTCAGCCACCCAGGCGCCCCTGAAAATGTCTTTTAAATGATGAATTAAGTAATCAAGTGATGAGGTTTATAAGCCCCCTACTATGTGGTGAGGACATTTACAGAGACGTGTTCCCACTACTATGTGTATTTATACGTATTTACAGAGACGTGTTCCCACAATGTACGTATACATAGACAAATGCTCGGTGAGTCTATACAAACAACCCTGTGTAATCGATATCCTGGACAAGTAAGACCTGGTACAAATCACAAAAATGGTGTTTCCCACCATTTCTTGAAACTTGACTCTGTGGGAGATCTTCCCGGCCACGTCAGATGAACATTTTGGCCGCACAGACTTTTCAACACATTCTCCAATCTCTCAGGTGACGGACAGCAGGTGGGCACTGTGTGGCACAGTCACCATTCAGCAGCAAGAACACTCAGCCCTCCACTGGTTCAGGCAAATTTCAGGATGGGAGCGGGCGGGGGCAGGAGGGCAGGATGGAGCTGGCTTCTCTGTTTCTGGGGCTGGCCACCCCTCACTGGCCTGGAGGGCACTGGGGACCTGAGCAGGGAAGGACGCGTTCAGCTGGTGCTTGGGAGCTGGCGTCCACCTGTCTGTCCGGCAGGTGCAGAAGTGGGCCCTCCCCAGGAGGTGTGTGCACGCTCTCTTCTGAGGTTCCCTGCTGGATGCTCCTTCCCGTAGCTCCTTTGGCACCGTTGGACATCTCCAATCCCTGTAGCTGTTTGTGACCCTTTAGTGTCCTCACACCCCAGCACTCACATCCAGCTTCCTACCGCTGGAGTCCCCTGGTACCCATCAGCCCTACTGGACAGGGCTTCCTTGGATACACTCTCGTCTGTCCAAGCTGAACCCCATCTGTCCCTGGGAACACCCGGGGATTCAGGTCCCTGCTGCTCCAGCAATGTCCTGGTAATCCCACCAGCTGCATGTCCGCGCTCTCATCCTTCTAGACTGGTGGATCTCAAGTATTTTTACTGTCAGGCAGTGGGAACATGCACACACACCAGTACTAACGCATCACTGAGACACAAGCTTTATAATCATACTGTGATGCACTCGAGTTCCTCTTCTACTCAAATTTATTGTTTTAACTAGGTTTATTGAGGTATAACCTGCATACAAAGTATTATTCACTAATTTTAGACGCACAATTTGATTAATGCTAACCAACGTATCCAGGCCCAGACCCACCACCATCTTCAAGACCTGGGGCATTTCCAGCACCCCAGAAAGTCCCTTCCTGCTCCTTTGCAGATAACTTTTCCAGCTCCGTGCTGACCACCACTGACCCTCTTTCTGTCCTAGAGTTTTGCTTCTCTACAATTTCCTGTAAATAGAATCATATGTAACGTAGTCCCTTTGTCTAGCTTCTGTCCCCTAACAGAACGCTCTGCCCCTCATCCATGTTCTTGCATATCGTAAGTAGCTCACCACTTTCTCTGACATGGAAAAAGGCTGTACCTATTTAATGTATAAAAGTGGGTGATGTAGGGAGAAGCGTACGCCAGTGAACCCATCAGCGTCATCAAGGCCACAAGCATATGTATCTTCTCAGAGTTTTCTTCCACCCACATTATTACTCTTATTATGTGTGTGCATGTTAAAACACTTAACGTAAGATTTACCCTCTTAGCGCATTGCAAGTGTGCAATCCAGCGTCGTCAGCTAGAGGCATGATGCTGTGTGGAGCTTGTCCATCTTGCGTGACTCAACTTTTTGCCTTGTGGCCGTCACTTCCGCTGCCCCTCCCCACAGCCCTTGGGTACCACTGTTCTACTGTCTTTTTCTATGAGTTTGCCTATTTTAGATCGCACATATGAAGTGAGGACATACGGTATTTTCCTTTCTGTGCCTGGATTATTTTACTTTGCACAGCAACTTCCAGGTCCATCCCTGTTGTCAAAATGTCAGGATTTCCTTCCTTTTTAAGGCTGAATAATGCTCTACTATGGGTGTGTGTGTGTGTGTGTGTGTGTGTGTGTGTGTATCACATATTCTTTATTCATCTGTTAATGGACACCTAGGTTCTTCCCATTTCTTGACTACATGAACAATGTGGCAGGAAACATGGCGTCCAGACATCTCTTCAAGACCCCGACTTCAATTCCGTGCATGTATACGCAGAAGTGAGGTTGCTGGATCATGCAGTAGTTCTCTTCTTAGTTTTTTGAAGACCCTCCATATGGTTCTCCACAGTGGTGGCACTGCCTTACAGCCCCACCAACGGTACAGGAGGGCTCCCTTTTCTTCACATCCTTACCAGCACTTGCCATCCGTGCCTTTTTAATGCCGCCATCTTAACAGGTGTAAGGTCACATCTCATGGTGGTCTTGTCTGTATCTCCCTAACGATAAGTGATGTTGAGCACCTTTTCATTATCTGTTGGCCGTCTGTATGTCCTTGGAGAAATGACTGTTCTTTGCCCATTTTTTAAATTAAGTTAGTAGTAATATTTTGGCTATTGAGTTGTGTGAATTCCTTATGTATTTTGGATATTAACCCCTTATCAGATATGTGGTTTCTCTCTCTCCCATTTCATAGGTTGCTTTTCCAACGATGGCACCTCACTTGGGAATTTAAAATCCCCAGTATCTTTGTGTCTCGTAGAAATTTCAATTGTAACCTGATCTTGAACTTCTTTTACAAATGATGTCAAACATCATTGCTCCCAATGATCACAAATCCTGAAAAAGGCAAAGCTAAGACCAGGTCTTCTGTCTTGCTGTATTTGGTGCTCCCAGAGCCCATCACTGTATCTGACCCACACAGATCACCAGCTTTGTCTGTCACTCTGCTTTCTCACGCCATCCCCACTAACCTTTGGAATGGTAGAATTAGAGCTGCCTCCAAATTGTTTCTGTTGACTGACGGCATCTCGCAAAGCCAGCCCGGCTACTTGCTGTTCTCCACCCTCTTCCTTTGACGTACTTGTCAGAACACCACGGAAGCTAAACCTAAGCACCCTGTGGCAGGACTAGTTGTCGTTCACGAACTTTACGTATTAATGATCTGTAGCGAGATATCTTCCCCAGTTCCTTGAGGTTTGCATGAAGCCCCTAAAATAGCATGCAAAGTCCACATACATGACTATCATCCCGGGAAGTGAGTACATAGCTTCTATCACATCATTTAAAATATCTATAACCCTGAAAGTTCAACGGAAAGAATATGATGATAAAGAGAGGAGCCTCAATTGTCCCAGAGGCATTTTTTTTTTTTTTGGTCTCTGTCTCCATAAATCACTACATGGCTCTGATACTTTCATCCTCTTCCCTGAGACTCTTAATTTCTAACATGTAGGATCCTCCAAATCCCTCCTGCTAGCCTTCCCTCTCACTGCGGCTCCACCTCTAGAAAACCGCAGAAAGTAAGAACTAGAACCCTGTAATGTGAGACAGAGTTCTCCCATGGGCACACGTGTGAAGGCTCTCATGGGGACGTGCCGGGCCATCACGGGGGTGCTCTGAGGCTGGAGTGGGATGGAGGTGTTGTATGTTAAGAGAGGCAAAAGTTAAAACAGAGTGACATTCTGTGGCGACATCTGGTAAAGGAAGGGAACAAGGTTTCTTGGTGTGGTGGTAAGGAGGGACCTCACAGATCAATGGAGCTTATAAAGAACTTACAGAAGTCTGGACCAAGAAATGGTAAAACAGAAAATCACGTGTGTCATAGGACATGTTGGGGGTTGGGGTGTGGGAAACATAACCATGAATGGAAAAGTTTCAGTGGCTCCAGTCTCTGGAGGAAAGCTCTCAGGCTGTTCTGAATGGGTCATAGTGCCCATAGTTCAGCGAGACCATTTCCCCCCACAGCCCGCACCTCCAGAACGTCTCTAGACAAGGTAAGTATCAGTCCCTGACTGTGTTCTGTCCCTCTGCTACCTCCAGTCCCATCCTCCCTCTCTCTTTCCAGTTCTTCCTCTATCTCCTTTTCACCCCAGCATGACTTGGTTGTCTACTCTGCCGTGAAGACACGACTTCCAGAGGACTCAGCTGGAGAGCTCAGATCTCAGGATGAAGACGCCGTGGAAAGTTATGAGAACGTCCAATTCGCATGACTTGTCCCTGATCCAAAGCCCAGCTCAAGGCCGTCCTTGGGCCCCTGGAGTGACAAGCTGGTCCCAGTGTAGCAGTTCTTCTTGCCCGTGCACATTCACATCCGAAACTCCCAAGTTCACCTGCTCTGAAGTGGTCATGGGGCGGCCACCGAGAGACTTGCTCAAGTGACCAGAGTCCACGGGTTAGACAAAATCCCACACACCTGCTCTGAGCCTAACCTGATATGTTCTTCAGGGTCAGATTTAGGGGAAAGGATGAAGGAGGGATAAAGTACTCCTGTTGAAAACCAGAAGCACAAATTTTGGTGAATTGGAATTTGCACGTCGACGCAACTGAGTGACTCAGGTCTCTGCTCAACGTGTCTCCAACAGCTGTCCCACTGGAGACCATCTGATCAGTCGGTTTAACTCTGAGAGGTACCTGGGTCCTTCCCAGACGGTGCCCAGAGCCACCCCTCCTGCTACACCGTTTACACTGCCAGGCTTCAGCTGCAGACAAAAGGATCCCCGCCAGTGCTTTACAGGGACAGGAATTTAAGCAGGATATTAAGTACTTTACAAAATCATCTGAAGAACCACAGAAGCAGCCTCTAAGTGGAGCTTCCAAAAGCAAAAGGCAACTAGGTCTGTGTTATTTCAGACAAAGATTTTTAACGTTAGAGAAAAGAAATTTGAGAAATTAAATTAAAAAGTTAATAGCCATACAAATCTAAATTTGAGTTGGAAGTATCAGCATGAGCTGATGTGAAACCCTGCTTTAAAAAAAAAAAAAAAAGATATTTATTCCCTAAGTCTGTCCACTGAAAAGGCGTGGAAATAATTAGCAATACGACAGCAGTGAGCACCTTTCCAGGGACTGTAGTCTCCAAATGCTATTTCCCCACCATTAAATAGCTGATATGGGACTAAATCATTCTCCCAATAAGTGAAGAAGGAATAAAAGAAAGAGAAAAACCACTATCTTGCCCAGATATTTCACGGGACACCTACTGATTAGATTATCGTTAAAACAGCCTAATATTCTGTGCCTCTTGGTGGAAGTATTCAATGTCACCTACAAAGTATTCCTGCCCAAAATATCAGAACTGGATCCCATCAAGCTTCTAGATCAAACCGCCAGCTCACAGGAACTACATGAAGCTACAGTACCGCACCGTGAGACGGCACCATGAGCGCAGTCAACGAAACCCACACTGGAAACATCTACAGGACACAGGAGCAGGTTTCTCCAACAAATAAATGATGGGTTGGTGGGGGGAGGAAGGAGAGAGGGAGGGGCTAGAGGGAGGGAGGGAAGGATGAGGGAGGGAGGGGAAGGAGGGAGAGAGGGAGGAAGGACAAAGGGAGGAAGGAGGGAGGGAAAAAGAGGGAGGGAGAGGAAGGAGGGAGGAAGGAGGGAGAAAGGAGGGAGAGAGGAAGAAAGGGAGGTAGGAAGAAAGGAGGGAAGGAGCGAGGGAGGGCGGGAGGAGGGAGGGAGGGTGGGGGAGGAAGCGAAGGGGGAAGGAAATCCTACAAGCTCAGTGATACTTGACACACATCAACCAAAGGGGCCGCCAGCCTCCCTTGCATCCTGACTCAAACCAAGTTAAGAAAAATACCGCTTAGGAAATTCTAAAGGAAATTTGTATACTAATGTTAAGAAATTAGTGTACGTTTCAGATGCCTTTTATTTCTTTTTGTTGTCTGATTGCTGAGGCTAGGACTTCTAGTACTATGTTGCACAGCAGTGGTGATAGTGGACATCCCTGCCGTGTTCCTCACCTTAGGGGAAAAGCTCTCAATTGTTCCCCATTGAGAATGATATTTGCTGTGGGGTTTTCATAGATGGTTTTGATGGTATTGAGGTATATACCCTCTGTCCCTACACTGTGAAGAGTTTTGATCAAGAAAGGATGCTTTTGGGTATGCGTGATAGTGTTACAGTTATGTTTCATTTTAAAAATACAGGTATTTAAAAAATCTGTAAGAACTCATTCTGAGGTATTTGTGGATCAAATGATACAAGCTTGTTTGAAATAACTCAGTAAGCGCAGGGTGGGTGTGATGAAATGGGGCTGGCCGGGGGTAAACAAAGTCTGAAGCTGGGTGGCAGGTACCTCGTGGGAGGAAGGGGCTTTGGCACTAGTCTCTGCTTTTGTATGTTTTCAGTTTTCCACGATAAAGTACTAAAATATCCATACACAGACACCATCTCAGTCTGGACTGCCCGCACCCCCACCCTGGCCGAGGTCCCTCCTCCGTCAAGCTCTGGGCTCGCCGTCTCTTGCTGGTGTCTTTCCTCCGTACCCCCCATTCCTAGCACCGTGGTCGTGTGGTCAGACCCTGGCAGTGGGTTCTCATTGCCCCTTGTGTGCCAGCAACGCCCCACCGACCTCCCTCCCGGCCTCCTAGGCCCCACCTCATGCTTCTTTCCCCTCATCGCCGACACTGTCCGCACCAGGACAATTACCCCCTAAAGCCTGCACGGAGAGCTCGTCCTCCCAGACGTCCATCAAGGCCTTGAGGTCTACCCTGAATCATTCATATTTCGGAAACTGCTGTCCCCGTCTTCGGCACGGCTAATCTCCGTACCTGCTCTGCTTTACTTTTCCCCCTTAGCACATCACTTCAAAACACAGGACAGAATTTACTAATTACACTTCTCAGAATAGAAAGAAATGAAGTTTCATAGGGACAACACCTTCTGTCTCTTGCTCACAGATAGATCCCGAGAACCTACAACCGTGCCTGGCATGCTGTGGGTGCATAATAAACACTTCTTAGAGAATAAGTGATCTGTGTCATTGAAGTAAATCCCGTCCTCCCTGTGATGGAAGGGATCGAGGTACACAGTCCGCCCAAGGAGCAAGCGGACCCCACAGGGTCTTCCACTCAATGGAAAGCTCAAGTTTGTCCCCATGTCTGCCAGTGACCGGTCTGGCCTCGGCGAGCAAGTGTTTCTAGAACCTCTGCACCCCCATCAATGCCGCTTCATTCGTGGTGTGACCCTCGAGCAAGCCGGGGGTCGTGGGAAGAGGCAGACTGACACGCACGCCTCGCAGGTTAGAGACCCGCGTCCAGAGGGGTGCATGGCCGGAAGCTCTAGCAACACCAGGATCCCCGGGGTGGGCTGCACCTGGCCGGAACCAGCGGGAGGCGCCTGGCCTGCCCAGGGCCCACTCAGACGCAGCTTCATGGGTTATCGGGTTCTGGAGTCAGAGCTGGGCAGCCCAGTGCGACCCACCTTGCCTCTGACGTCCAGGGGCCTGCCCGGGATTGGGCTTCTCTCTGAAGAAAATGCGAGCAGCCACAGTCTGCGTGTGCAGGGACGTGCTCAACAGGTCACGGGGGCCAGTGACACTGTGAAACCCGGAAGCAGAGGGACCGCATGTCCCGAGAATTAAAAGAATTTGCTGAAGTGTAACAGCCAAACCTGCTTATTTTGCTGATGCTGGGAGACCAGGGAGCACGAAGATGATTTGGCCTGGGGCTGGGTTAGTGGGATTTGGCGCACTTGCCAGGGTCTGGGTTCCCGGCACCTGCACGAGCCGCGCGCGGTGGTCCGGACCAGCGGCGTCCGTGGTGGGTGGCCTGTGACTGGAGCGGGGCTGACCGTGATCCCGGGGTGTCAGGCAGGGCAAGGGCTCCGGGTTTGTGCAGATGGGGCTGTGGATTTGTCGTGCTTCACCCTGACTGCGTCTCCCAAGAGGGCCCGGAGGACAGCGCTTTCCACTCACAGCGCTGAAGAATACACGTCAGGAAACCCAAGCCTCCCTGAAAAGGGAAGGCCTTGGGCCTCCGAGAAATAGGCCCGGGACGGAGGTGAAGACTCGGCCTTGGAAGAGGGCTCCCTGATTCCCACGGGTCCAGGGGGGCGCAAGCAAGGCCAGCATGGTCATCAGAATACCACGGCTGCCCAGGACTCGGGAGCATGGGACCGGGAGACATAAGCAGCCACATCTGTGCCACTGAAAACGTCTGAGAGCCTGGCTTGAATCAGACAAGCGAGCCGTCGCCACCCCATAATCTGTGCTCGTAGCTACATCAGCCAGGGTTCCGCTGCGGACAGCAGAATCCGCTGCAGCTGGTTTATGAGGAGAGGGATTTAATATGGGGCATTACGGGACGGCTGGAGAGTGAGCCTCTAGGGCTGAGCAGCTCCCAGGGGCACCCTGCCCAGGGGCGGGCAAGAGAGCAGCCCCCTCCCAGCCCCCACAGCTGACTGACCATCAAGGGGCCTCTGTGGCTCCGGGGAGAGCTGCTATAGCGAGGGGGAGCGGGGGTGACCGGGCCACAGATGGGGACAGCCTGCTCTGCTCACTGCCCCTCTGGTTCCCCTCCATGTTGCATTCGTGGATCAGGATTTAATTTTCCACAAATTACTCCCCCAGAAACTTCTAGAAAGTTTGACATTCACATTAGCTTTCTCTCTCTCAGCCTAAACTTTTTTTTTTTTAAGAATTTTGAGTGCTTTTGACAATTCCTTGCCTTTCCACTTGAGTCTAGGTAGAAAGCTGACCTGGATGACCTCCATGCCCCTTCCAGCTGTGTCTCCAGTGACCCCACAGGGCACACCTCCGGCCTTCCACTCACATGAGTTCCATCCCCATTTCTTGCATATTATTTTTAATAAAATCCAAAAGGCTGAGCGTGAACTGGAGGTAAAATATAAAACAGCCTCCAGCCAAATGTCAGTTCAAGAGTTTCAGAAAGAGGAACCCCAAGACAAATTTATCATTTATGTTTATGCAAAAGTGTGTTGGGTCTTCGGACTTCCCAGAGGCATGGAAAAATAACACCTCAGAGATTTACATAAGCAGGAGGGCGGGGGAAGGCCTCGAACCGGTTGGCTTCTGTTATCATCTGGTTTAAAAAATGAGAGTTTTCATTAGGAAGTCAGCTCACCTGCATGGGGCCCTCCTTCTCCGAGAGCACAAGAAGCCAGTGCTCCCCCGGGGGGCCGCTCAGGACCACAGATGACAGAGCAGGGTGCAGGGCAGGGATGTATACACCTGTTGCGGACCAACGAAAAAGGGAAATGTAAGACCCCTTGCTCAAAAGGCAAGGAAAAAAGTGTGGTTCAAAGTACAGAAATATAAAGCTTCTTCCTTTTTCCCGTGGTCTCTGCCTCGACTTGTCATGATGTTCTTAGTCATTCTAAGAAGAGAAAAAATAAAATGTTAAGATATTACTGTGAATCTTCTTGTTCATCTTTATATTTTAGCTGCAAACACAAGAGCACTTCCTGCCTCTGGGGTGTCTCCGAGGTTAGACAATTTACATCTCCTAGCTAACACACACACATGCATTCTGTCCTTATGAGGGGGGTGGAAATGCGGAAAAGCATTTTGCACTCATTTCTTCATACGTGTGCCTCCTGCCCACCCTGTCCACCCTGGGGAAGCTGGGAAGGAAGGGGGTCTGGGAGGTAAAGGACTGCACACAGGCTGCTCTGCCTTCTTCTCTCCATCAAGACGTTTCCAGCCTAAGTGATAAGCTAACGTAGGGCGCCAAGTAGGGAGAGACAGGCATATTTCCTTGCTGTCCGAGTCTCTTACTGTGTTCGAAGCCAGGTTTTGGTTCAAACGGAAAGCATGGCTTCTCAGGCTGTTGATCATCAATGCAACAAAACACTTGCTTTTCTCTCGTGTGGAGCCTCGCTGACTCGCACGCCCTGTGGGCCCACTGGAGTTGTGTGTTCACGGGCCCTGGGAATGTGTTTGCGGACGGGCCGCGAGGAAAATGGGCACACATGAGGCAGGGATTTCCTCTGCCCCCGTGTTCACTCCACAGTCCCATCAGACTTCATTTACAAAACACAGGTCCGGGGCGCCCGGGTGGCCCACTCTTGATTTCGGTTCAAGTCATGATCTCAGGGTCATGAGGTCAAGCCCCATGTCCAGCTCCATGCTCAGAGGGGCATCTGCTTCTCTCTCTCCCCCTCTCCCTCCCTCTCCGTCCCTCCCACCCCTCTCCCTCTCTTAAAAAAATAAAATTAAAATAATAAAATCTAAAAAGAAAACACAGGTTCAGAGAGAAAACCATCAGGAATTTCGAGACGGCGGCCAGGCTCAGGGCCTTCCTGAGTGCAGGCCTGTCTGACCGCCCGCCGGGCCGGCTACAGCTCGATGCTTCGCCCACCTCCTGGGATAAACAGGCCCCCCAAAATTCAAGCTCTCTTTTTCTAAATTCTCCGTAGTTATTTGAACCACCATTGGCTTCATCGTTGGGTTAGTGCTGGGGTTAGAAGGCACTTGCACCCACGGGCCCCAGGCTGAGGGCAGCCCCATGAC